CCCCACACCTATTTGTCTAAACATATTTCTTCTTCCCCTGCCCATCACACATAAACAACTGATATGTAATTGACGCTGGCCGCTGGCAGTTATTATGTCATGGAGGATGGCACATGATCATGTCCCCGGTGTATAAACGATGTTATGTAATATTGTCTGTTTCGAAAACAAGAGAAAGAAATATTATGAAAAACAACCATCGGACTACGATGTAATCACTTCTAATCAAAATATCTCCATATTAACTATGATTTTTGTTTATCATGTTTAAATTCATATCTTCCAAATATGTGTAGGTGCGTTCTTCGCGTGTTTGCGTGTGAGTGTACGTGTAAGTCTATGTGTTTTTTTTGTGTGTTTTTTTGCAGTAAGAGCCGATGGTGTTTACCCTCATTATTGTTACCATTGGCAGCATCTTTCTCAATTCTTTCTTGTATTTGTCAATTCATATTGCTTTCTTTTATTTTCACCGAAATTTGTAAATTATTTTATAACAATATCACTTCTTGATCTCATAGTGACCTTTGATCTTTCTCCACAATCGTAAAAAGTCCCACGCACGTAAATTCACCCTATAAACACAATACACACCCACACGTGAATTGCACATCTCATTTGTTATGTGTTGTAAAACTGTAAACAAAATTCGCGCTCGGCCCAGAGGCCACCCCTCTCCCCAGTAAAGGGAGAAAAAAAATCAAAGCTCACAATCTATACAGCGTTCCCAAACACCCAACGGAAATACGTGTACTTACAACGTCACAAGCGATACAATTCGAAATCATGTTGCAATCTTAATTTTGAGGATGTTGAGTGTTTTCATAACGAACGTTGCCATTCTATAAGACAAATTATAAAGGTTTAAAAAGAAACTTACCAATGTAAGAGTACGACGATTACACTGTAGACCTAAACTATATCTCAATACAAAATGCAAACATTGGGTCATTGGCACCTATATTACAAAATCAACGGGAAAAGTTGCAGCCTCGTACAGAAAGAGGGCGCGCATCCGTTTAGATAACTAAAAAATATTCATTTTAAGTCACTGTAACTTATCTTTGTAGTTGAAAAAATTATATATATCTCTTTCACGATTGCTTTCGGATAATTGACGGATGCATTAACTGGATATATCTGTTTTTAGAATAATTACTGTTTTACATGTCAACGATCGCGGAGAATTAAATTCTGCTGCACTTTTCAAATAGTTTACATTTGATAAGGATAAATGCATGTGTCGTACCTTTCTGGCACCTAATTTTATTTTTTACTGATCTCTCTTGAAAAAAGTGTACTCCGAGTCAGCTTGTTTACATGTTATCTATGGGAGCAGTTTTACTTCTCCAGAATATACAACTGATGTGTTTGTTGCCTTTAAATCTATGTAAGTTCACGAGTCTACACTCAGAAACATTCGTTGTTTCCTGTGCCAATAAAGGTGAATCAACAAAGTTCAGAAGAAAGTGATTACAAGTTCATCTTAAACCGTTTTGTTTTAATTAGTTAGTCCACTCTAACTGCCATCCGTGAGCTTGACAGGTACCTCGTGTTTATATAAATCAGATCCGAGGATGAGAAAAAGATTTGCTTTAAGCATAGAGACCATATCCGAACTGAAAAATGAAATGGATAAACCATATATCAAACTAAAGCTTAAAGGCCGGTTGTACTAGTTAAGCCAGGCGGGATTAGACCCCACATTGTGGTCAATGACAGGTGGCTTTCTCACCAACTCAGCTCTCAATTAACATAAGAAAAAGAGAATCACGTGGGACCAATAGACATTTATAATATCATGCACTGATGGGATGTTTGTGTTTGTTGGCGGCACGACTAGTAAGATAGAAGTGATGAACCGCACAGATTTGAAGCAACAAAAGCTGCTTATTTTAGTCAGCGTCAGATAGATACTACCAAGTACTTATCGAATTTCACAAACCAGGTGAGACTTTTGACTGATCATTATAAGACTCGGAAAGTTTCAGGGAAATACCAACCAAACCGCAGGCAACCAAAAAAAAACAAAAAAAAGTGACGCGTTTAGCCGAAAGATGGATATTTGATGAAGTTTTAGTCATGGCTGGCATGTGTTAACATGCAATCAGTAATAATAAGCAAAATATCAAACTTGCTTTTCAACTATGGAATTAACAAAAGGCAAACGTACCACTGATATATTTACATACTGTAATGCAAATTGATCACATTAGCCTACTATCACCGTTACTATTTACATGTACATCAATTTGCACATGAATATGTTGTTTATTAAAAATTCAGATTTCCTGAAGTCTACGCTATGTTATTATGAATTTGTCTTAAGTCATGAATGAACAATGGACATTTCTATGTCCGCGCATTAAACATGTTATACTTCAATAGTGTTCAATTGTATATCATTATTTATATCAAGTTTGTCTAAAGTTTTGTCAAATTTAAGCGGTACACCATTATGTTAATTTGAAAATGCTATTTGACAATCTTATTTTGACAATGTACCAGTTCGGTACGTTTAACGTGCAATACAGCATACTGGGTTTCTGTATATATAAAATAAACATCACTCACTGAGTTATTCAAACTATCCGACCACGATCACAATGCCAAAGGTGCATATCTGCGCTAAGCGACTTGTGACACTATCAAAACTGCACGTTTCGTACAGTGACAGAAAAATACCAAGCATACATCGGATGCCATAAACCAGGTGAGACGTTTGAATCGAGATCGACTATAGAATGGTTCTACATTTCGTAAATTATTGATGAAAATGTATAGCTAAATGAATATCAATTTAATGAAATGTTATCAAGTTTCAAATGCATTGACTGAGAAATAAATCGCAAGTTATTGATATTTGATTAGCTATTATATTATTATTAAATTAAAACATCATCCTTGTTTATAAGAACATTATAAATTCATCCTTATGATGGAGCATTTTTAGAAGGGACTCTCATTAAATGAACATGTGAAATGAAAAAGCAGAAGGGGTTGTGGGAGATTTTGGGGGGAATGTGGCTATTGGGGTCAGCTTTATTTGTAAACAATTGATATGCTGGTAAAATAATATATCTGGAAATTTTACTATTTAGTATAATTTTTTTACTTTAGGAATATCATTATTTACATGAACATGTGTCAACGCGCTGAAGTTTGCAAAAGAATTAGAAACTTAAAATAAATGAAAAACTTATTCAGTAACAGAAAAGTGAGAAAATCACACCCTTCTCATCAAGGAGTTGGTGGTAAAGACTCCATCTCATGGAGAGCCATGTTTGACCAATATAAGGAAAATACAGCGCGAGTCGAGCTATAACTAGACACATCTACACATAAACGTGCAACTTTAAAAGTGGACTTACGAAATATGGACATAATCGAAAAACAATTTTGGCGGAGGTGGTACTTGTCGAAATGCATCAAGTTATTTGGAACCTTAAAAATGTATTTGTTAAGTTGTAAATTTCGTGCGCATGTATTTCGTCCATGTGTTGTTCGCAAAAGTAGAGCTATGCTAAGTGAAAATTCAATAAGTCGATGTACTGCTCAGCAGTGAGTAGTTAATTTCCTGCAGTATTAACCAATCAGGAGCCTTGCACATTTTATGTGCCGTATGTTATGATTTACAACCAATGTAAAACAAATAACACCAGGTCTACTATTTATCTTTACACGGTGAGTGAATGACAGGGTCTAATTAATATTCAACCACAATCAAGCGTACTACAAATCATAATATCAATCAAAAATGAAAATGAAAACGCATATTTTTACTAGCGTCATAAGACTCATTGTGAATATCGTTAAGAAAATTGTTATTTTGCATCCGTTGCATGTTCATATGAGGTAGGGATTTGGGGTATTTTGGAATGGTACCATATTCAATGTTTCATAAATCCATCCCTTTAGTGATTAATATATAAGCTTCATAACGAACGTTTGTATGGATGTTTTTATTTTTGTCCATTTTGTTTATAATTTTATAATTATGTACATGTGTATATCTAACATTTACATTGCTTATCTATTTTAACAATGTTTGTCCGTGTCAATTGCTTACGTTGCATACTTGGTGTGACCAGAATAAACCAAATCATGATATCAATATAGGAACCAACTTCATTTCCGGAAGATGCATAGTTTACAATGTAAAGAAGCAGTGCATCTTCATTCCAGTATTCAAAATGTACTCCATGTTCATACAAACTCCAAAACAAATATGATGCCAAAAACTAGCTGTTGCATCCTCAAATAGTCGGATCGAAAAACAATAAAAAAAAAGGGCCATTTTCTTTGATTCATATATAAGTGATAATTATATCAAACCTAGGCTTTAATAAATTCAGTCTATAAGCAGTACATATGATATTTGTGAGTAAAAAATTAAAAAGTGATACAATAACAAAGCAACAATCAAATGGCTGTTCCACGCTTGATTCAATACAACTTGTGTTAAAAAAAGGGCAATTATACAAATAATGCTGCTAATTGATATGGATTTGGTATATAGAAGAAAGAAAAAAAAACACAAGCAGAATTACAAAGGTGACGGGATAAAACATTCTATAATATCTATTCCGAATAAACACATATATTTCGATGTCACACAAGACCCAAGCAAATACTGATATGCTACAAACTACGTAATGCTTTTTAACTGGAATTTTCTTTCCTCACATCTCTCTTTCCCCGCAGTTAAGTCCGGAAGACAATTGCTGATAACGATTATCGTTTATATATATATATATTTAAGACACATTAAACCCTTGTCAAGGGACGCATATTGAATTAAATAAAAAAGAAGAATCATTAGAATAACGTCGAAATACTTTCCATGATCCTTAAATTTTAAAGTTTCATTACCCTCAACAAATAATTTGTCACTGCATAATATTATGTGAGGTAATCTCAAACTTCAATGTACAAGTTTTTTTCTGTTAAGAAATAACGAAAGAAAATCACTTTAAAATCATTTATTATGACCATCCTTACAGGTTCAATTCCTTGCAGTGCCCCGTACATTCCCGCGCACGCACATGAAACAAATCCTCGTCTCAACTACAACTTTGGTGCCAAAATTACTGTGACGTGTAATGCCACTTCTGATACCTTCAACCTTCAGTGTCATAACAAAGGACTATGGAGTGGACCGATTGTATCCTGCCCTGATTCGACGGGTAAGATAATATTCAAATCCGTATCCGTTTTAGGATCACTTTGCTTCTATTAAGATTTGAATTTAAACAATGTATCAAAACCCCTAACTCTCCGTCAGGTGGTACGATGCGTGAATATATTCGTCCTGTTTTGCTCTGTTCATAAACACATGTCTATAATCCAACTTAATATCCGAACGAATCCTGAGCTGCCAAAACACTGTAAACTCGCAAAGCTAGTAAAGCTGATGAGCACTAATTGCCAAATGGTATTTTTGAATGTTCTTGTTGTACTTCATTACGTGAGAAGCATTCGCAATTTGGTGAAAGTAAAACATATTGTTTTTGTTTAGTTTAGTTTACACAATCCTCCACATTGAGGGTTCAGACATAAAATAGTAATTGTAGGCATTTAGTACAGTTGTGAATCAAGTAACTTATAATTTGTTTCCCTCAACTCTAGCTGTTCCGACGAACTGTAATGCTCCTTTAGTCCCGAGATACTCAACGCTCGAAACCCTTAGTCCGAACTATAACATTGGTGACAGTGTGACATTCCGATGTGACAATACCACCATTCAGCCCTTTAGTCTGCTTTGTGAAACCATAGGGTTATAATAGATTAATAGGTTAAAATAGAACTCCGATGAGAGTAAAGTTTGCGAGTTTTCGAAATTTCGATCACTTTACATCATAAACATTGACAACGACTAAAATATATGAATAGATACGCTGCTTTGTTAAAATTGAGGTTTATAAAGAAGTAAACCATACGATGGCATTAAAAGGTATTATGTGAATCGGTATATGAAGCTTATGCCCCTGAAAGGAAAAGTTCGACTGGCTTTCGTCATATACGAATCCCAGATTAATGGTGATGATAATGGAAGAAGATATTAAACCTTAATATTAGATTCAAGGAAAAGTGCCTGTTACTGTGCAAACTGTAATTATTCAAATTACAAACAGAGTTTAACAAACAACAATACAATTGCCCAAACTGCTAGAATATACTAATCGTATGGGGCTCGGCACATTACTAAAGATCCGACTTATTATCAGGTAACATTTGGATGTGGGCTAATCATGGGAATGTAGGATCGATCAATGGTTGTGATTATAAGGGCTATGTCTAGAAGAAGCATTATATATCAATAGTTCAAGTTAGGAGGTCAAGTAGGGTAAGACTTTGATCGCTGCGGTATTGGTCGTAAAACTGTTCGATATTCCTAGTTCAAACTGTATATATTGATCATAACTTTCTCTGTCTAAACTACTAATGAAATATTAAGAAACATACGTATTGCATTTCCATTCACAGCCCCTACACGATGCACTAGTCCATATATCCCAAAGTACGCATCAGCTGTAAACGTTCGTTTGGTCTACGACATCGACGAGAGTGTAACAATCACCTGTGACAGCGAAACAGACAGGTCGTTTACCCTTCAGTGCAACTCAGATGGGTTTTGGACGGGTAGTGTCCGTTCTTGCTCACCGCCATTAGAAGGTTAACTATATTTATTATTCATTAATTCATAGATCATTTTGTATTTATCTACCTAGCTACCAATGTTCAAAAACGTGTTAATAATACCAGAGGCCCAACGCACACGAGCCCAAAATTCATGGCTATGATGGTAAAGGGGTTAGTAGAAAAATAAAATTAGGTCCAGGGAAAATTGCCAGTTACTGATCAAAAATTGTAAGAGTTTAAATTTCCAGCAGAGTTTGACCAACAACAATAGACATAGATGTTAATAGCTCAAGTTAGGAGGTCTAGTACGTAGGGTTGGAGATTGATTGCTGCGGTATAGGTCGTAAAACTGTTTGACATTATTTATAATTGTAGCACGTACATATGGTATATGTAGTTTAAATTGTAGATTTAATCCTTACTTTCTCTGTTTAAAATACTAATGTTAGTTGCATTTCCATTTACAGCCCCTACACGATGCACTAGTCCATATATCCCAAAGTATGCATCAGCTCCAAACGTTCGTTTGGCCTACAGCATCGGTGACAGTGTAACAATTACCTGTGACGGCGGAACAGACAGGTCGTTTGCCCTTAGGTGCAACTCAGATGGTTTTTGGACGGGTAGTGTCCTTTCTTGCTCACAGCCGATAGAAGGTTAGCTTTACTCATTATTCATTTATTCATCAATCATGATTCATTTGTGTACCCACCTATCAATTGTCACGAAAATTGTAAATACTACAGAACATATAGCACCCCACTGCTCCTACGTGCATACATGTATAATGAACTGCACAATTGTTGTTGGAATAATAATAATAATAATAATAATAATAATAATAATAATAATAATAATAATAATAATAATAATAATAATAATAATAATAATACTACTATAATAATAATAATAATAATAATAACAATAATGATAATGATTTTGATACTAATATGACCAATATTACTACTAAAAAAAATGATCATCAAGCATTAAGATAATAGGACAATAACATTTAATTCCAGTGCATGTAAGATCTAAACGGACTTGAAAATTAAGAAAATGCTTTATCTTTCGATGTTTGCCGTTCTATTAGTGACACCGGTGTACGATAAATTTATACTCAGAAGTGCACTTCATATACCACAAAGTACATACCATTATATAATAGAAGGAAAACAGTCACTTAATGATAACTAGATGTCAATCTACAGAGAATGATATACAATAAATTATGTTCATTAGCAGAAATGATTTCACACGACTTTTCTTTCCTGTGAACAATTTCTCATGTCACCTCCCTGAATACGTTATGATAATACTTATTATTCACAAGATAAAAGTTTCATTCTTCTTTCAGCAACAAATAAACATAACATTGTTTTCTTTTATAATCACTATTACTAGTTTAGAGGGGAGATCAATAAACAACATACACATAATAGACTTCAGTGAGGGTATTAGTAAGACTTTTACTCTTATACTGATCTTTAGGGAAAGTTTGGACTGTTTACAAGGTACCCAGAATTCGTTTTCAACGGCTGCCTGCCGTAGCAACACACACAGTTGACAAAAGACTTAACTCCGTTTCGTTGACGATCAGCCATGCATCAAGTCTTTTGTCTTCTTTGTGCATGGAGGATCGTCAACGAAACAGAGTTAAGCCTAAAATTATGGAAATGCAAGCAAGCATTACCAAAACACAGAACTTAGTTTTTCCTGGCTCATTTTCCCTCATTGAGGTGTCATATGAAAGGGGTGAAAATGAACTTTCCAGAAATGAATTTTCTCTCTGAAATGCAGATACCACCCGCCAATTAACTTTTTGTTACCCTCTCTTAAATTTTTTTTTATCACTCATGCGTAGGATGTGCTTAATATGAGTTGCATCAAATGAAAGAAGAGGATCTAAGCTTTACATATTTGTGTCAACAGCTTCGCATTTAATCATAAGTATGACGCCAAATTCAAATAATTGAGATTGTAAAATGGTTGATCATGCTTGGCGACAAACCAAACATACGACAGTGCAGAGTTGTCCTTAGAAATATCCCTTTTAAAAACATCTTCACAGCTGATGAGAACACCTATCTGATGTTTTCAGATGCTAGAAACCTGTTGAGGCGTTTTACTATACCAATTTAGAATGCTTGATATTATTTCATCTTGATATGGGCTTTATGACCTTAAAAACTGAAGAAAAAAAATGGAAGTACGCGTGGTTTATGGCATAGCGTGCAATTCCGTCAATTGTGACGTGACTAAAGAAGATGGAATAATTAATTCCAATTATTAACATAATCAATTAATAAACATGAAAAATGAGATCCGGCATGTAAAAGTCATTCAATTTAAAAATGAAGTTTTGTTTCGGCTCGTCCACGGATCTTATCAGTACACAGGTAGGGTAGAGGTCAAAATGGCAAAGGGAAGTTCTAAATAAATATCGCCAACGCCAAAATAAGGGCTAGGTGTAAAAATGTCAGAGGTAAAAATGTCAGACGTAAAAAGGTCAGAGGTAAAAATGTCAGAGGTAAAATGTCAGAGGAAAAAATGTACGAGGAAAAAATATCAGAGGTAAAAATGGAGGGAAAAATGTCAGAGATACAAACAAAATGTCAGGTAAAAAAAAATGTAGAGGTAAAAACTGGTGTCGTTATAATATCTTAGCACTATATCACACAAAATGTCGAGAAGTAAGCTACTGGGCTAGTCTACTATATTTTATAAATGACTGTGTATTTCACTTCGTACATGTCCTGAGGATAATACAATGTGGAAAGATAAATTTGAAACTTTTGTGATCAGGTTTGCAAATATTAATTAATATAATTTTTCGATATTTTAAATTGGTTGATGTTTTAATTTTTACTTGGTTTTGAGGAAAAAAGCCAGGTACATATAATTTTAAGATTGAATGAGATAAAACTTGGAATCAGTTATAAAGATCGCAGAGTAATGCCACAAATTCAGTGGTTAGACCCATCTTCATGTCCATCCCAGCAAAGACTGTTATAACAAGAAAACATTAAGAAAAAGACACGGATGCTTTGTCCGGTTTTTTCAGTGTTTCTTTTTCGTCAATCACCGCCTACATATTTATACACATATGTATATATTTATGACAGGCCACTTTATATCATAAACATTGACAACGACTAAAATCTATGAATAGATACGCTGCTTTGTTAGTATTGTGGTTTATAAAGAAGTAAACCATATGATGGCATTAAAAGGTATTATGTGAATCGGTATATGAAGCTTATGCCCCTGAAAGGAAAAGTTCGACTGGCTTTCGTCATATACGAATCCCAGATTAATGGTGATGATAATTGAGGAAGATATAAAACCTTAATATTAGATTCAAGGAAAAGTGCCCGTTGCTGTGCAAACTGTAATTATTCAAATTACAAACAGAGTTTAACAAACAACAATACAATTGCCCAAACTGCTATAATATACTAATCGTATGGGGCTCGGCACATTACTAAAGATCCGACTTATTATCAGGTAACATTTGGATGTGGGCTTATCATGGGAATGCAGGATCGATCAATAGTTGTGATTATAAGGTCTATGTCTAGAAGAAGCATTATATATAACAAGTTCAATTTAGGAGGTCAAGTAGGGTAAGACTTTGATCGCTGCGGTATTGGTCGTAAAACTGTTCGATATTCCTAGTTCAAACTGTAGATATTGATCATACCTTTCTCTGTCTAAACTACTAAAGAAATATTAAGAAACATACGTATTGCATTTCCATTCACAGCCCCTACACGATGCTCTAGTCCATATATCCCAAAGTATGCATCAGCTGTAAACGTTCGTTTGGTCTACAGCATCGGTGACAGTGTAACAATCACCTGTGACAGCGGAACAGACAGGTCGTTTACCCTTCAGTGCAACTCAGATGGGTTTTGGACGGGTAGTGTCCTTTCTTGCTCACCGCCGTTAGAAGGTTAGCTATATTTATTATTCATTAATTCATAGATCATTTTGTATTTATCTACCTAGCTACCAATGTTCAAAAACGTGTTAATAATACCAGAGGCCCAACGCACACACGTATATAATTAACTGTTCAATTGTTGTTGTTCGTGGTTGTGGTCAAAATAAAATAGCATCGAACCACTTTATTGTTTTATGTAATCACTAAATAACATCATGGACCTAGGTCCATGGTAACATTTCCTTTAATTTTCCCGTTTACGTCCAGAGATATACTCAAATGACATTTCAAGTAGATACTTTTGTTTTGTACTAACTATCATCTTTACTTGATTTTCTTTACAGCTCCAGAGAAGTGCAGTGCCCCTTACGTTCCAAAATAGGCATCCATTCAGGACTTGCGACTGAATTATGACTATGATGACACTATCACTGTGACATGTAACAGCAGCACTGCTCAGTTTACCCTTCGGTGTGACACGAAAGGTCGATGGAGCGGCCGGGATGTTTCTTGTCCCGTACCTACCACAGGTAAGACTTTTACAATTTTATTTTATTTGATTTGATTTGATTTGATTAATTGCTTTTGTCTGAAACTCCCCCTCCCCTATTTCGACTGGCTTTCGCAATATACCAACCCAAAATTCATGGTCATGATGGTAAAGGGGTAGGCAAACAAATGAAATTATGTAATCACTAAATAACATCATGGACCTAGGTCCAAGATAACATTTACTTTGATTCTCCCGTTTACGTCCAGAGATATACTCAAATGGCATTTCAAGTAGATACTTTTGTTTTGTACTAACTATCATCTTTACTTGATTTTCTTTACAGCTCCAGAGAAGTGCAGTGCCCCTTACATTCCAAGATATGCATCCATTCAGAACTTGCGACTGAATTATGACTATGATGACATTGTCACTGTGACATGTGACAACAGCACTGCTCAGTTTACCCTTCGGTGTGACACGAAAGGTCGATGGAGCGGCCGGGATGTTTCTTGTCCCGTACCTACCACAGGTAAGACTTTTAAAATTTGATTTGATTTGATTAATTGTTTTTGTCTGAAACTCCCCCTCCGCTATTTCGACTGGCTTTCGCAATAAACCAACCCAAAATTCATGGTTATGATGGTATAAGGGGTTAGCAAAAAAATGAAATTGCCAGTTACTGATCAAAAATTGTAAGAGTTTAAATTTCCAGCAGAGTTTGACCAACAACAATAGACATAGATGTTAATAGCTCAAGTTAGGAGGTCTAGTACGTAGGGTTAGAGATTGATTGCTGCGGTATAGGTCGTAAAACTGTTTGACATTTTTTATAATTGTAGCACGTACATATGGCATCTGTAGTTTAAATTGTAGATTTATTCCTTACTTTCTCTGTTTAAAATACAAATGTTAGTTGCATTTCCATTTATAGCCCCTACACGATGCACTAGTCCATATATCCCAAAGTATGCATCAGCTGCAAACGTTCGTTTGGCCTACAGCATCGGTGACAGTGTAACAATCACCTGTGACAGCAATACAGACAGGTCGTTTACCCTCCAGTGCAACTCAGATGGGTTTTGGACGGGTAGTGTCCTTTCTTGCTCACAGCCGATAGAAGGTTAGCTATACTCATTATTCATTTATTCATCAATCATTATTCATTTGTGTACCCACCTATCAATTGTCAAAAAAAATTGTAAATACTACAGAACATATAGCACCCCACTGCTCCTACGTGCATACGTGTATAATGAACTGCACAATTGTGGTTGGAATAACAATAATAATAATAATGATAATAATAATAATAATAATAATAATAATAATAATAATAATAATAATAATAATAATAATAGTAATAATGATAATAATAATAATAATAATAATAATAATAATAATAATAATAATAATAATAATAATAATAATGATAATAATAAAAATAACAATAATGATAATGATTTTGATACTAATATGACCAATATTACTACTAAAAAAAAAAAAGGATCATCAAGCATGAAGATGATAGGACAAATAACATTTAATTCCAGTGCATGTAAGATCTAAACGGACTTGAAAATTAAGAAAATGCTTTATCTTTCGATGTTTGCCATTTTATTAGTGACACCGGTGTACGATAAATTTATACTCAGAAGTGCACTTCATATACCACAAAGTACATATCATTATATAATAGAAGGAAAACAGTCACTTAGTGATATCTAGATGTCAATCTACAGAGAATGATATACAATAAATTATGTTTATTAGCAGAAATGATTTCACACGACTTTATTTCCTGTGAACGATTTCTCATGTAACCTCCCTAATACGTTAAGATAATACTTATTATCCACAAGATAAAAGTTTCATTCTTCTTTCAGCAACAATTGAACATAACATGATTTCCTTTTATTATCACTATTACTAGTATAGTTGGGAGATGAATAAACAACGTACACATAAAAGACTTCAGTGAGGGTGTTAGTAAGACTTTTACTCTTATACTGATCTTTAGGGAAAGTTTTGGACTGTTTACAAGGTACCCAGAATTCGTTTTCACTGGCTGCCTGCCGTAGCAACAAACAAAGATGTCAAAAGACTTAACTCCGTTTCGTTGACGATCAGCCATGCACCAAGTCTTTTGTCTTATTTGTGCATGTAGGATCGTTAACGAAACACAGTTAAGGCTTAAATTATGGAAATGCAAGCAAGCATTACCAAAAAACAGAACTTAGTTTTTCCTGGCTCATTTTCCCTCTTTAAGGTGTCACATGAAAGGGGTGAATATGAACTTTCCAGAAATGAATTTTCTCTCTGAAATGCAGATACCACCCGCCAATTAACTTTTTGTTACCCTCTCTTCAAATTGTTTTTAATCACTCATGCGTAGGATTTGCTTCATATGAGTTGCATCATATGAAAGAAGAGGATCTAAGCTTTACAAATTTGTGTCAACAGCTTTGCATTTAATCATAAGTATTTCGCCAAATTCAAATAATTGCAATTGTGAAATGGTTGATCATGCATAGCGACAAACAAAACATACGACAGTGCAGAGTTTTCCTTAGAAATATCCCTTTTAAAATAGCTTCACAGCTGATGAGAACACCTATCTAATGTGTTCAGATGCTAGGAACCTGTTGAGGCATTTTACTATACCAATTTTGAATGCTTGATATTATTTCATCTTGATATGGGCTTTATGACCTTAAAAAACTGGAGAAAAAAAGAATGGAAGTACGCGTGGTTTATGGCATAGTGTGCAATCCCATCAATTCTGACGTGACTAAAGAAAATGGAATAATTAATTCCGATTATTAACATAATCAATGAATGAACATGAAAAGTGAGATCCGGCATGTAAAAGTCATTCAATTTCAAAATGAAGTTTTGTTTCGGCTCGTCCGCGGGCCTTATCAGTACACAGGCAGGGTAGAGGTCAAAATGGCAAAGGGAAGTTCTAAATAAATATCGACAACGCCAAAATAAGGGCTCGGTGTTAAAATGTCAGAGGCAAAAATGTCAGAGGAAAAAATGTCAGAGGAAATAATGTTAGAAGTAAAAATGTCAGAGGATAAAATGTCAGAGGTAAAAATGTCGGAGGTAATAATGTCAGAGGTAAAAATGTCAGAGGAAAAATGCCCTGAATCGACTGCAACGGGTAAGATAATATTCAGATCCGTACCCGTTTTAGGATCACTTTGCTTCTATTAAGATTTGAATCTAACCAATGCATCAAAACCCCTAACACTCCGTCCTGTTTCGTTCTCTTCATAAATACATGTCCATAGTCCAGCTTAATACCCAAAAGAATCCTGAGCTGCCAAAACACTGTAAACTCGCAAAGCTAGTAAAGCTGATGAACACTAATTGCCAAATGGTATTTGGTAATGTGTTTGTTGTACTTCATTATGTGAGAAGCATTCGCAATTTGGTAAAAGTAAAACATATTGTTTTCGTTTAGTTTAGTTTACGCAATCCTCCACATTGATGTTTCAGACATAAAATAGTAATTGTAGGCATTTAGTACAGTTGTGAAGCAAGTAACTTATAATTTGTTTCCCTTAACTCTAGCTGTTCCGACGAACTGTAATGTTCCTCCAGTCCCGAGATACTCAACGCTCGAAACCCTTAGTCCGAACTATAACATTGGTGACAGGGTGACATTCCGATGTGACAATACCACCATTCAACCGTTTAGTCTTCTTTGTGAAACCACTGGGTTATGGAGTGGACCAATGCAGGCGTGCCCGCCACCCGTCTCAGGTATCTATGACATATGGGTATCCATTATTGCCACAGACGATAAAAATATATACGGGACTAAAAATAGAACAGTCAAGTTTGCTAGTTATCAAAATTTTGATCATTTTATATCATAAAATATAATATATGAATAGATACGCTGCTTTGTAAGTATTGAGGTTTATAAAAAAGTGAACCATATGATGGCATTAAAAGGTATTATGTGAATTGGTATATGAAGCTTATGCCCCTGAAAGGAAAAGTTCGACTGGCTTTCGTCATATACTACTCCTAGATTAATGGTGATGATAATGGAGGAAGATATTAAACCTTAATATTATATTCAAGGAAAAGTGCCCGTTACTGTGCAACCTGTAATTATTCAAATTACAAACAGAGTTTAACAAACAACAATACAATTGCCCAAACTGCTAGAATATACTTATCGTATGGAGCCCGGCACATTACTAAAGGTCCGACTTATTATCGGGTAACATTTGGATGTGGGCTTATCATGCGAATGTAGGATCAATCAATAGTTGTGATTATTAAGGCTATGTCTAGAAGAAGCATTATATATCAATAGTTCAAGTTAGGAGGTCAAGTAGGGTAAGACTTTGATCGCTGCGGTATTGGTCGTAAAACTGTTCGATATTCCTAGTTCAAACTGTAAATATTGATCATAACTTTCTCTGTCTAAACTACTAATGAAATATTAAGAAACATACGTATTGCATTTCCATTCACAGCCCCTACACGATGCACTAGTCCATATATCCCAAAGTATGCATCAGCTGTAAACGTTCGTTTGGTCTACAGCATCGGTGAGAGTGTAACAATCACCTGTGACAGCGGAACAGACAGGTCGTTTACCCTTCAGTGCAACTCAGATGGGTTTTGGACGGGTAGTGTCCTTTCTTGCTCACCGCCGTTAGAAGGTTAACTATATTTGTTATTCATTAATTCATAGATCATTTTGTATTTATCTACCTATTTACCAATGTTCAAAAACGTGTTAATAATACCAGAGGCCCAACGCACACACGTATATAATTAACTGTTTAATTGTTGTTGTTCGTGGTTGTGGTAAAAAAAATAGCATCGAACCACTTTATTGTGTTATGTAATCACTAAGTAACATCATCGTACCTACCCCATGTAAGACTTTTTAAATTTTAATTGATTTGATTAATTGCTTTTGTCTGAAACCCCCCCCCCCCCTATTTCGACTGGATTTCGCAATATACGAGCCCAAAATTCATGGCCATGATGTTTAAGGGGTTAGTAGAAAAAATAAAATTAGGTCTAGGGAAAATTGCCATTTACTGATCAAAAATTGTGAAAGTTTAAATTTCCAGCAGAGTTTGACCAACAACAATAGACATAGATGTTAATAGCTCAAGTTAGGAGGTCTAGTACGTAGGGTTAGAGATTGATTGCTGCGGTATAGGTCGTAAAACTGTTTGACATTATTTATAATTGTAGCACGTACATATGGTATCTGTAGTTTAAATTGTAGATTTAATCCTTACTTTCTCTGTTTAAAATACTAATGTTAGTTGCATTTTCATTTACAGCCCCTACACGATGCACTAGTCCATATATCACAAAGTATGCATCAGCTGTAAACGTTCGTTTGGCCTACAGCATCGGTGAGAGTGTAACAATCACCTGTGACAGCAATACAGACAGGTCTTTTACCCTTCAGTGTAAATCAGATGGGTTTTGGACGGGTAGTGTCCTTTCTTGCTCACAGCCGATAGAAGGTTAGCTTTACTCATTATTCATGAATTCATCAATCATTATTCATTTATTAATCAATCATTATTCATTTGTGTACCCACCTATCAATTGTCAAAAAAATTGTAAATACTACAGAACATATAGCACCCCACTGCTCCTACGTGCATACGTGTATAATGAACTGCACAATTGTTGTTGGAATAACAATAATAATAATAATAATAATAATAATAATAATACTAATAATAATAATAATAATAATAATAATAATAATAATAATAATAATAATAATAGTAATAATGATAATTATAATAATAATAATAACAATAATGATAATGATTTTGATACTAACATGACCTATATTACTACCGACTAAAAAATAAAGAAAAATGATCATCAAGCATTAAGATGATAGGACAAATAACATTAAATTCCAGGGCATGTAAGATCTGAACGGACTTGAAAATAAAGAAAATGCTTTATCTTTCGATGTTTGCCGTTCTATTAGTGACACCAGTGTACGATAATTTTAAACTCAGAAGTGCACTTCATATACCACAAAGTACATATCATTATATAATAGAAGGAAAACTGTCACTTAGTGATATCTAGATGTCAATCTACAGAGAATGATATACAATAAATTACGTTCATTAGCAGAAATGATTTCACACGACTTTTATTTTCTGTGAACAATTTCTCATGTCACCTCCCTGAATACGTTAAGATAATACTTATTATCCACAAGATAAAAGTTTCATTCTTTTTTCAGCAACAATTGAACATAACATAGTTTCCTTTTATTATCACTATTACTAGTATAGTGGGGAGATGAATAAACAACGTACACATAATAGACTTCAGTGAGGGTTTTAGTAAGACTTTTACTCTTATTTTGATCTTTAGGGAAAGTTTGGACTGTTTACAAGGTACCCAGAATTTGTTTTCACTGGCTGCCTGCCGTAGCAACAAACAAAGTTGACAAAAGACTTAACTCCGTTTCATTGACGATCAGCCATGCATCAAGTCTTTTGTCTTATTTGTGCATGGAGGATCATCAACGAAACAGAGTTAAGCCTTAAATTATGGAAATGCAAGCAAGCATTACCAAAAAACAGAACTTAGTTTTTCCTTGGCTCATTTTCCCTAATTGAGGTGTCATATGAAAGGGGTGAAAATGCCAGAAATGAATTTTCTCTCTGAAATGCAGATACCACCCGCCAATTAACTTGTTGTTACCCTCTCTTCAAATTGTTTTTAACCACTCATGCGAAGGATTAGCCCGAAAACTTCAGTCTCTCTAGTCGTCGGTTGTTCCACTGAGACTACGTCTGGTTCCACTAGACCTCCGATTATAGAGACTGAAGTATGGCCTATCGGGACTTTACGGGACTGTACGGAACAAATGGTTCGGTTCGACTGGACCGCGATGAATGACATATGCAACGAGATTTTCACTCTTTACATTCTCATAACTGCTGCAATTATAATAAAAATTAAAAATAACATATATATAGCTTATTTGACTGACGATAGCTTGCTCATTTAGATCCTAAATTAATGATTAATCCGAGAAAGTCTTGTCGTCAACATTATCCGTCTTGGTTTTAGTTGATGAATATTCATTTTTTTTTCTTTTCGAACGTCCAATAGCTACCGTAGCTACGTACGAGTCAGCCCGGCTTGACCAACGAACTCCCACGAAACGAGTGCTCTGATTGGCCATTGGGCTATGTTTTGGTAGGTTGACCCGGAAATATTTTGGCCGCCGGGTCATATAGCCCTATGTTCGAGTGCATGAACGTACTGTTTCAGTTCTGAGATACAAATTGGATAATTCATATAAGTAAGTCCGTAAATTATACATTTAATATTAAGTTATCAAATTTTGATAACTGCAATTAGGACAAATGACATACCGACCTATGTTACATCTGATTTAGAAATCAGAAAATTAGATCTAAATAAAGAGAAAATGTTTTGAACGAAAAGATGTACATTGTTGGCTCTAGCTACCCCCACGGTCTGGGTTACCATCTGTATTGGGGAATGTCAACAAATGTCAGTTTTATTAAAGAAATGGCCAAATCAGATGGTTATTTCTGTCTAGCGTAGGATTTGCTTCATATGAGTTGCATCAAATGAAAGAAGAGGATCTAAGCTTTACAAATTCGTGTCGACAGCTTCGCATTTAATCATAAGTATGTCGCAAAATTCAAATAATTGCAATTGTGAAATGGTTGATCATGCATGGCGACAAACAAAACATACGACAGTGCAGAGTTGTCCTTAGAAATATCCCTTTTAAAACAGCTTCACAGCTGATGAGAACACCTATCTGATGTTTTCAGATGCTAGAAACCTGTTGAGGCGTTTTACTATACCAATTTAGAATGCTTGATATTATTTCATCTTGATATGGGCTTTATGACCTTAAAAACTGGAGAAAACAAATATGGCTTAGTGTGCAATTCCGTCAATTGTGACGTGACTAAAGAAGATGGAATAATTAATTCCAATTATAAACATAATCAATGAATGAACATGAAAAATGAGATCCGGCATGTAAAAGTCATTCAATTTCAAAATGAAGTTTTGTTTCGGGTCGTCCGCGGACCTTATCAGTACACAGGCAGGGTAGAGGTCAAAATGGCAAAGGGAAGTTCTAAGTAAATATCGACAACGCAAAAATAAGACCGACATTAAATGTTGCGTTGATCTACTGAGTGTTGTTTACCTGCTAGCACCCCCCCCCCCCCACCTCTCTCTCTCTCTCTCTACTTCTCTCTCTCTCAATCTGGTGAAACCACCTATACCATAACGACATTTAACTTTTGAGTTCTTTAAATTGAAGAACAAATAATATTCAATATGCATATGTATGTGTAACAACGTAAAATATGGAACTCCTTTTACTCACATTAGCATAACGTCGGTGGGGTGACAAAACCTGGTATCTCAAAAATCATTAATTCTCAGGAGAGCGAAAAAACTGTCCTGTCTCAACAAACTAAGTGCTGAGACATCGTCCTTTCTTTTTAAAACTGGAATATTTATACAAATTGTAATGATATTGTTGAAATACAGTAAAATAATAGTTGTTATATTTGAAAGTGAGTTACGAGGTTTTTGCTTCTATCTACATTGAGATACGAGTTTTTAGTTTTTATTCAAATTGAGATACGAGTTCTTACTTTCAACTCTGATTGAGTTACGATGATTTGGTTGAATAAGTTACGAGGATTTGAATACACTAACTTCGGTACTGTTAGGCCGTGTGTGAGTTACGAGGTAAATGAATTACATATCTTAAGTTACGAGGTTTTGTAAGTGCAGCTTCAAAGGGGGTTAAAGTTACGAGGTTTAGTTTAAAGGGTGTTTGTGTGGAATTTGTGAAAAACCGAGACAGGAGGCGTTCCATGTATTTATAAGGTGGTGTCGTAGGCCATTAGGTACAAAATTAAGTAAAACTAGAATTTAATTCGTCACGAAGACGAATAAGGTGGTCTTTCTAAGTCTTATGATAGATTTGAGAATGGGAGAAGTTATATAGACATGTAAACAATGATGATCATGATGAACATGGTGATGATTATGATAGTAAAGGTGATGATGATGATGATGATGATAATGATAATGTTATATGATGATAAAAACGGTAATGTTAATGATGATGATAATGATCATGATCATGATGATGTTGATGATGATCATCTTCAGACCATGATGATGATGATGATGGTGACATTGATGATGATGATGATGATGATATTGATGATGATGATGACGATGATAAGTATGAGCATGATCCTGACATCTGATTGAAAAAATGAGGAAATATTTAGATAGCATATAGTCTCAGCTACAACATACTAAGATTTGGTTGAAAACTGTTTTGAATAACAACCGAGACACTGGTCAAAACACATTGTCATGCAGATTCATGTTTTGAAAAAAGTGACCTCCCATAGATATAACACGCAAATATGACAAATTATGCATTGTCGCCTTTTATCGAATATTTCAGTATAATGACGTCATCTAAATAAAAAATAAATACTCTTAGAGTACAATATGCTCTGTATCTATTTTCATCTATTTTGAGTTTTCCTCACTGGGCTTTGAACATCTCCCGTCGACATTAATATGAAATACATTAATGAGGAGCATGATCGTTTAATAAGTAAGGATGGATGACTGGATTTTAGTCTTTTAGTCAACTAAAACATTTTAATATCGTCTTAAGAAAGGGAAAGCAAGATATATATTTCACTTACAGTCTAACAAGTTTGTCACGTGTGATTTTCTGTCTTGTAACAAATGAAAATCGCATTCTCTTTAAAGACAAATTATAATAACAAATGATATGAAGAAAATTTAAATTTAATGCGCTCTAAACATTTAAATAGTGCGTTAAAGTGTTAATATCAAATTTCGCTGAACTTGTAGAAGATTATTTTGACTGGGGCAGCACGGTCAGTATGACGTTAGTGTACGATTGCACTTACGGATTTACTTATCACCAAATGTGCACGTTTACTCCAACGTCACAACAATACCAAACATACGTTGGATGCCACAAACCAGGTGAGGCTTTTGAACAGACTGCTTATCACGGTCTTTTGTAGGGCATGATAGGAAGTACCGTAGAGATTAACTAATCAATCAAAATAAGTTTCCGACGATACTAGACAAATCTATAAATATTTGCAGTCCTCATATTTCGTTAATTACATTGTCAATACATTTGTGTCTGGAATCTCGGGGACCTAATCTAATACTAGCATAGGACAGCGACTTTTTATTCTAAATAAACAACATAAAATTTAATTAAATCTCGATTGAAGAGGTGTTCATCGGTAATGTTTCCTGACTGTTGAAAAGGGATAAAACAAACCTCTTGGTCGCCTTGTTTCCTCGGTATAGCTTTCTGTAATTTGTGTGTAGCCAACTCTGTATACACCACTTTGCGCAGGCTAATAACTCCGTTAATGACAATTTACAGACGGGAAAAGCAAGATGG